GGAACAGGAAACGTCCCTGTTGCCCTGGTGGTAAAGAATCAGCCTACCAATGCAAGGAACACAGGTTCAATTCCTGGTCCTAGAAGATTCCACATGCCCGGGGGCAACTAAGACCCCATACAACTATTGAGGCTTGCATGCTCCAGAACCCAAGTTCTGCAAGCAGAGAAAGCGCTGCAATGAGAGGCCATGGCACGGCAGCTAGAGGGCAGCCTCTGCTACTACAACCAGACATCCAGCAACAAAGACCCAGCATAGTCAAAGATAATTCAGTGTGAAAAAAAAAGGACACAAGTTCTTTGAAGAAATGACTGAGACTAGGGGTGAGACAGTAAATACATAAGCCAGGGTAATCTTAAATTATAAGAAAGTAAACATAACTATCAAGCTGTCCAAACTGATAAAAATGATTACACACTTTTATCTGTATACACTAGCAAATAACAGCCTGAAAAGGAATTTTAAAAAAACAATTCCCTTTCAATATTGTCAGCATTAATAAAATACTTTGCCATGGATGTAATGAGGATGACAAGACTGGCACACCAGAAATTATACACGATGGCTGGAAAATGTCCTAAATACATGTACACATATTCCATAGCGATGGAAAGACTTGAGATGGCAATACCATGGAATGCATCTGCAATCTGAAATGAAGATTCAATGTGAATTACAAAAGGCTGAAAGGTTGATGCTAAACCACAAAAGATGCCAGGATTCTTGGCCTCCAGAGGAGAAGAATTCAATCCAGGGCCAGTGACGAAGCTTGATCGCTCAGAGCTTTTGTGTCATAAAGTTTTATTAGAGTATAAAAGAGATAGAGAAAGCTGCTGACATAGACTACCCCCTGCTAGTCTTCAGCCTGATGTCATACAGCCACTAGCAGTCTGCTAATTAAAGAAAGGCAAAGTCTCAGAGAATGGCACTAGGCCTCTCACCCAAAACATGCATTGAGATAACACTGGTGGCAGGTGAGTCATCCCAGGCCATAAAATGGCTGACATGAATCTTGAAAAAAGGCAGATTTCCAAGCAAATATATAGTTTCATTAACATAGATTAGGAGAACAAGTTATGAGTAAACCATACTGGTTTGTCAAGTTGGTTCTGAGCCTTTAGGAGGAACCGACTTGAAGACAGAATCTAGGGTAAATACATAGACATTAACATAGCTTAAGACAAACATTTCCATAAGAAAAATGCATTGTTTAGCTCAAGGTTTGAGAAAAGTTAAATTCAGGTGGAGCCAGGAGTCATCATGGCAACACACAATTTTAAGAGAAAGCTCCTTTTAAATTTGTATCGAGAAGGGGAAAAAATGTAACACTAGCTTGTTTCCTCCTGCCTCTTGAGAGAGAGATTTAAAAAAACGTCTGACACTTGCAGCCTATTTTCTCTGTCCAGAGACCCCTGGCCTTCCTGCCTGTTACCCTCTGGAGGCTTTTAGGAAGCAATACACAAGCTGACCCTAACATACACGTGGAATGACAAGGTACTCCAAAGAGCCAAAACAATCACATGAGTCTGCAGCTCAAAGGTCCTCTGGTATGCTGCACTAAGTCGCTTCAGTCACATCTGACTGTCAGAGCCCATCAGGCTCCTCTGTCTACGGGAATTTTCCAGGCAAGAATACTGGAGTGGGTTGCCATGCCCTCCTCCAGGGGATCTTCCCAATCCAGGGATCAAATTCCTGCATTGGCAGGTAGGTTCTTTACCACTAGCACCACCTGGGGCAAAAGTGCCTAAATGGAGAACAGGGAAACCCAGTTAGAGGAAGGGACTCAGAGAAAAGGAAGTGCGGGAAGGAGATTCTCAGTCACATTCACAGAAGCCCAGCAGGTAGTTCTGCAGGTGGAAGAGGAGGAGGAAGCAGGCTGGAGCTGCGTAGAAGACGAAAGAGGGAACTGAAGCAGGGGCCAGCCTCTACGATCTAATGCCTGATGATCTGAGGTGGAGCTGATGAGATAATAACAGAAATAAGTGTTTGGTCACTCAGCCGTGTCCAACCCTTTGTGACCCTACGGACTGTAGCCCACAAGACTCCTCAGTCCATTGAATTCTTCAGGCAAGAATACTGGGGATTTCCTTCTCCAGGAGATCTTCCAGGCCAGGGATTGAACCCAGGTCTCCTGCATTGCAGGCAGACTCTTTACCAACTGAGCCACCAGGGGACAGAAACAGAAATAGAGTGAACAATAAATGGACTGCACTTGAAACATCCCAAAACCTTCCCCCACCCCTGTCTGTCAAAAAACTGTCTTCCAAAAAAACTCCCGAGGTCAAGGAAGGAACTTCAAGTGTACTCAGCTGTCCCAGGTTGCTGGCTTAGGGAGATGCTGAAGCAGGGGTGTCCCAAGAGGTAGAACGTCCCTTGCGTGGGGTCCTCAACAGACCTCCAATAGCCTTGGTGATGATCGGAGAGATTTGTTTCAGTTTTTGAAAATATCCTTGTGGGATAAACTTATTACTTAGCAATTCTTTTACAGTCTTCCTAAGAAAAAGCTTTCTTTCTTTACTGATCCGTGAAATACCAACTGTGATGATCACTGTTCTAATATACCTCATAGTGTTGCTGACATTATGGATATAACTGTGTGAAATTGAACTTATTCAATAAAAATGGTGAAGCATCTGCCCTGTGCCCAGCACTTTCCAAGGGTTGGGGAGTATAATGAAAATACTCCATAAGATGCACAGCTGGTAGGCACATTCTTTTAAAAAGCCTTTCACACTTCCACCAATAGTTTATTCTCAATGTCAACACTTGCCAATTAATGACCACACTGGGTAGGAAGCTCATTAAAAACCCAGGAGCCAGGGTTCCTGGAAGGATATCCCATTCTCCCTTGGACAGTCCTCCACCCTCTCTGGCTCTCAGTTTCCTCATCTGTAAAATCATGGACAACTAACTATAATTCATCCCTGGAACCCAAGCCTACTGAGGGGGAGGGAAATACTACTCCAAAGCCTGGATGATGGACCAGATTCAAAGAAAAATATGTCATTTCTGCTTTTCAGTCAAACAGACAAATATAATGAAAGGAGGAGTCCCTGGCCCTGTGGGATTTGCCTAGGGGTCTAGTCTGGGAAATTCTTACACATCAGGAGATGGCTCTGAGCTGGATTTCCACAAACAAGAACACCCATGCAGAGGACAAGCCTGCACAGCTCTGTGCCCATCGGTGACAAGAGCCTGCCTCCCGACAGCCAGCAGCATTTACAGGTGACCTCCTAAGGCCTTCGCCAAACAAACCACAGGGGCACCTCTGGGTTTTCTGTCTCCCTCACTTTTCCGACTCTTTTCTTTAAAAAAAAAAAAAAAAAAGCAAATTTCTTCATAGAATGCCACAGTGGAAGGAAAATAGGCCTTCAATTTTTAGACCTCAATTTGCAAACACTTTGGAGCTTTTTTAATTAAAGCATCACATAATTTAAAATTTTTACACGTTCTAATTATTCAGTTCCAAAACACCACCCTTATTGCACAGGGTCCCCATGGAAAGACCCCCTGTCAGCAGGGCAGCCACAGATTCCCCCATGAAAGGGCAGCAAGGTGCCCTCCTCCCTTCTCTCCTGCCTGGGTGGCCACCAGGTTTTTAAATCCATGCACCCTACTAAGTTTCTAGGGTGCAATTCGCGGACCCTTCCCATTCCCATCCCAGCAGGTGGTCAAGGGCCCGCAGGCCTGCAAAGTGCCGGAAGCAGGTCTGGGCCAGGCGGCCAGACTAAGGGTTGTGGAGTCCCAGCAGGTGAAACCACCATGCAGGATAAATCCCTTGGACTTCCTGGGGACCTCGCTGCAGGAATTAGGCTGCTTGGAAAAACCGCGCGGATCTGAACTTTATGCGAAGGGGTAAAGTGGTAAAGGCCTTGACCCCAATGGCGAGGCCTTTCTGCGACCACCAGGTTAGGGGGCTCAGAGACTGTGCCAACAGAGAGAGCTAAATACGTGGTTCCCTGCTCCACCGAGCCCCAGTTCCCTTACCTGTGGCCCGCACCCCTCCGCTCACTGAATGCCGATGAATGGGGACCCAGGAGCCAACGAAATGGGCGTTCCCTGATGCAATGGAGACCCCTGAGACCTGGGACCCACTGCCTAAGAACTCGGAGGAGGTGCGCTCCGCTCCCAATGCGGGCCAGGTGTGCTCCGCCCATACGCCTCCCAGGAGAGGCCCGCGGGCCTCGCTACTGCTGCCAGGTGAAATCCCTCCAGGAGCAAATCCACCCCACCGAAACAACCAAGCTTTTTTTATCAGCTGTGAAGTCGCTCAGTCGTGTCCGATTCTTCGTGACCCCGTGGACTGTGGCCTACCAGGCTCCTCCGTACATGGAATTTTCCAGGCAAGAGTACTGGAGTGGGTTGCCATTTCCTTCTCCAAGGGAACTTCCCAACCCAGGGATCGAACCCGGGTCTCCCGCATTGCAGGCCAGACACTTTACCATCTGAGCCACCAGGGAAGCCCCATACTAGGTACCTGGAAAAGGGGAGGCGGGCGAGGAGCACGGCGCGCCCCAGGGGCCACCGACCAGACTTCGACCACCACAGCGTCCCCGCCCGCGGCCGCCCACAGGCTTCGGTGCTGCTGGCCTGTGACGCATGGGGGCCCCACCGTGTGCCGGTCGACCGCTGCCCGGAGGTCCCCGCCGACGCCAAACGACCATCCCCACATCCCCCTGTAACAGGGCAGAGCCCTCCCCCACCACCTCGCACATGCCTACGGCATCCCCCCCCCCCGCGGGGACCCTCTCCACTCCCCTCAACCACCGGGACCCCCTACCCGCGCCCGGGTCCCAGGCACCCTTCTCCCCCCACCACCAAGGGCAGAGGGAAGAGGCTCCGACGGGAAGTGTGGCGCCAAGCGGGCAGGGGACACGACAGAGGTGAGAGGGCGAGAGAACCGGACAAGACAGCTGCGGGAGGCGTGGGGAGGGGGTTTGGGAGCAAGCCCCGAGGCTCTGAGGGCGTGAGGAGGCGCCGCGCGGCAGGCCCAGCGCAGCGGACGACCGACGACCGGCCGAGGCAGACAGGTTAGGGTCAGGGCCAGCGACGGGAGGCGACGGACAGGCACGCGGCCCCGCGGCGGGGAGCCGCCACCCGTCAGGCCGCACAGCCCTGGAGACGCAACCTGAGGATCCGCGCTGTGCGGTCGGTGGCTGGGAGGGAAGGCAGTCGTGGCTGGCGCCACGGGCAAAGGCGCGTAGGGTAGGGTGGGGGCGCGCTGAGCACCTCCCCCCCACCACCCCAAGCCTCGGACCCAACCTCGAGGGAACGTGGAGGGGAGGTCGGACGGAAGAGGGACACCAGAGACGACGCCACTGGGCGCGGGGCAAGGGTGGCGGGGCGCCCGGCCGGGGATGGAGGCGCGGAAGGGCCGGTGGCGCGGGCGGGAAGGCGGAGGAGAGCCGTCTTTCCCACCCGACCCCCACTCTGCACGCCGCCCCAGACCTTCTCGCGCTGCTCCTCATCCCCTACCTCTGGAAAGGCCAAAGGAACCGACCGCCCGCCCGGGGCGCGCCGCCTTCCAGACGTCCTTCCCTCCCTTCCTTCCCATCCCGCGCTGCACCGGTGGAGGAGAGGCTCACGAGGTGGGCGGGGCGAGGCGAGACCACCTTGCCGCTCTCTGAGCGGACCACGTTAAAGATCCTTCCGCAGCTTCAACTATGGAAACCTTGTCAGCTGATCTGTCTATAATTCAGGGATAAAACTATGACTACAGAAAGGAAAGATGACCTGACCGAGTATGGCCATGATATTCTATAGAACCAGAGAAAACTGGTTAAAATTTAAAAAAAAATTTTCTTGGAAACTGTAAAGCTGGTTCTTTTGCATATGCAATTAAAAACAATTAGCTTGTTAAAAAGGCCTGCCTAGGGCAAAGCTTGAAGTTAACCCTTTCCTTGAAAAACACTGCCCACTTTGCCTGAGACCTCAGCCTTGGGCAAATGAGAAGCCCCCCCGCCCCACCCCGCCCCAAAAAAAGGAGGTCAAAGAGCTATTTTAAATCTGAGGCGGAAAACTAGAAGATCTCTGTCTGTCTGTGTGGATTTATGTACGTTTCAGTGTGAGTCTTCTGTTTTTTTATAATATTGCTGAAGTTGTGAGTTCTTATTTAAATAATCTAAAGAAAAGGAAGCCCTTACAAATCAAACAGTTCTAACTACAAGAGAAAATTGACCTGAGTAATTTTTAGATTCATGTGAGCTGGGAAATAGTCAATATTAAATATCTAGTATTTTTTTTGCTACTCTAATACAGACACGTCTAAGAGTCACTAACAGTAAGCATCACTGTTCGCAGTGCCCGGTTCATCATGAGCTAAGTACTGCTGCATTGTTATATCTGTCACAAGCTTGTCAGCAAAGTACCTCTAAATACAAACAAAAAAACTCCTAAAAAATGTAAATGCAATAGGAGCTTTTAGATAAACTATTAAAAATAATTATACTTTAAAATATCTGTCTATAATAGTCACACTGGGAAGACCCAGAGGGATGGGATAGGGAGGGAGGTGGGAGGGGGGATCGGGATGGGGAATACATGTAAATCCATGGCTGATTCATGTCAATGTATGGCAGAAACCACTACAATATTGTAAAGTAATTAGCCTCCAACTAATAAAAATAAATGGGAATATATACATACATATATATATATATATTATCTGTCTACAATAGTCTTGATTGAAGGCAGAGGAGAAGGGGACAACAGAGGATAAGATGGTTGGATGGCATCACTGACTCAATGGACGTGAGTTTGAGCAAGCCCTGGGAATTGGTGATGGGCAGGGAAGCCTGGCACCCTGTGGTCCATGAGGTCGCAGGACATGGAAAAAGACTGGTTCCAAATAGGAAAAGGAATATGTCAAGGCTGTATATTGTCACCCTGCTTATTTAACTTATATGCAGAGTACATCGTGAGAAACACTGGGCTGGATGAAGCCCAAGCTGGAATCAAGATTGCCAGCGAAATATCAATAACCTCAGATATACAGATGACACCACCCTTATGGCAGAAAGGGAAGAATAACTAAAGAGCCTCTTGATGAAAGTGAAAGAGGAGAGTGTAAAAGCTACCTTAAAGCTCAACATTCAGAAAACTAAGATCATTGCATCTGGCCTCATCACTTCATGGCAAATAGATGGGAAAAGAGTGGAAACAGCAGCAAACTTTATTTTGGGGCGCTCAGAAATCACTGCAGATGGTGACTGCAGCCATGAAATTAAAAGATGCTTGCTACTGCTGCTGCTAAGTCACTTCAGTCGTGTCTGACTCTGTGCAACCCCATAGACGGCAGCCCACCAGGCTCTGCCGTCCCTGGGATTCTCCAGGCAAGAACACTGGAGTGGGTTGCCATTTCCTTCTCCAGTGCATGAAAGTGAAAAGTGAAAGTGAAGTCGCTCAGTTTGGTCTGACTCTTAGCGACCCCATGGACTGCAGCCTACCAGGCTCCTCCATCCATGGGGTTTTCCTGGCAAGAGCAGTGGAGTGGGTCGGCATTGCCTTCTCCGAAAAGATGCTTACGACTTGGAAAGAAAGTGATGACCAAACTAGACAGCATGTTAAAAAGCAGAGACGTTACTCTGCCAACAAAGATCCATCTAGTTAAGGCTATGGTTTATCCATGTGTCATGTATGGATGTGAAAGTTGGACTATAAAGAAAGCTGACCACCAAAGATTTTATGCTTTTGAACTGTGGTGTTGGAGAACACGCTCGAAGGTCGCTTAGACTACAAGGAGACCCAACCACTCCATCCTAAAGGAAATCAGGAACTGAATATACATTGGAAGAACTAATATGAACCTGAAACTCCGATACTTTGGCCACTTGATGCGAAGAGCTGACTCATTTGGGTGTCACTTTGATTCCCCTGTGAGTGTGGGAGCCCAACCTAGGTGCAGGGCCTCAGGGGCTATTGCCACTGAATAATGACGGTAAAGCAAGCGCGTTCCAGCCCTCTGTGACTCTCAGCACGCAAGAGGCTGGGAAAGCTATGTCTTGGAGGAAGGAAAGGCAGGCGACAGAATGTGTTTTCAGGGGTTTGGCTCCTCAGAGGTCGGACCTCCAAGCCTGCTCCGAGGGCCTCAATTCCCAAGTAAGGGCCATGTGTCACCCTGCACATTCCCAGCCTTGCAAACGCATTTCTAGGTCAACGCAGTACTGCCCATGAGGAAGAAGCCTGCGGGAGTGTGTCTGAGGGGGCCAGGTGCCATGCTGGGGTCACACGGCCGAGGGCACCTGGCACCTCCAACGGGATTCCGGCGAAGGGTGGTGGCCCGGCACCTAGCTTGCGAAAAACCAAAGCAGGTAGCAAAGTTAGCTCTGGCAGAAGGAAGCAAACAGCCATGGGAGGCCTTTGCAAGCAGTTGCTGGACCACCCTGCATTAGGGCTCCCCTGGCAAAAAAAAAGCCAGTTTGCGCCCCAGGTCCAGGCAGGTGCCCAGGGGGTTCTGCCTGCAGAAGCTGAGCACAGTACAGATCGGCCTAGGCTCGAGAGCTCTCTCCTGCAGAGCAAACGTGACAAAACAGCTGTGTGGAGGTTGGCTGGACATTCCCTGGGAGTGTGGGAGCCCTCCCTGGGCGCGGGGCCCCAGGAGCCAATGCCACTGCAAAATGACCTCCCAGCCAGGGCTTCCTAGCCAGGGGTGACTCTCAGCCCGCAGGCGGCTGGGGATGCTATCTTCCTGGGAGGCAGGAAAGGCAGCCCCAGAGAGGTGGTTTTCAGGCCTCTGTCGTGCAGCCAGTGTGTGGCCCCTCAGACGCCAGACCTCCGGGTCTGCTCCCAGGGCCTCAATTCCCAAGTCAGTCACGGGTGTCTGCCTGCACTCTGCAAGCCTTGCAAACACATTCCTAGGTCCGCGCGGTCCTGCCCATGGGGAATGAGGCAGTGGGAGTGCATCTGAGGAGGCTGGGTACCATGCTGGGGTCACCTGGCCGAGGGCACCTGGCACCTCCCATGTGTCCCTGGCGAGTGGTGGCGGGCCAGCCCCTGGCGTGCCCAATGCCGGAGCGGGGAGCAAAGCTAGCTCTGGCAGAAGAAGCAAACAGCCATGGGAGGCCTTTGGAAGCAAATGTGGGTCGCCCCACGTTAGGGCTCCATGGGCGAAAAATGCCAGTTGGGGCCCCTAGGCCCAGGCTCGAGGTGGGCGCCCAGGGTGTTCTGCCCACAGTAGCCGAGCAAGGTGCAGACAGGCCAAGACTCAAGAGCTCTCTCTAGCAGAGCAAACATGACAGAAAAGCCGTGTGGAGGTTGCCTGGACGTTCCCTGGGAGTGTGGGAGCCCTCCCTGGGCGCAGGGAGCCAGTGGCCATTGCCACTGCAAAATGACTGCCCAGCCAGCACTTCCCAGCTGGGGGTGACGGTCAGCCTGCAGACGGCTGGGGACACTATCTTCCTTGGAGGCAGGAGGGCAGCCCCAGAGAGTGGGTTTCCAGGCCTCTGTCGTGCAGCCAGTGTGTCGCTCCTCAGACACCCAGACCTCCGGGCCTGCTCCCAGGGCCTCAATTCCTGAGTCAGGGCCAGGTGTCTGCTTGCACTCTGCAAGCCTTGCAAACACGTTCCTAGGGCAGAGTGATCCTGCCAATAGGGAAGGAGGCTACGAATGTGTCTGAGGGGGACAGGTGCCATGACGGGGTCACCTAGCCGAGGGCACCCGGCACCTCCCATGGACCCCCAGCTAAGGGGTGGCAGGCCGGCCCCTGGCATGCCCAAAGCCAGAGCAGGGAGCAAAGCTAGCTCTGGCAGAAGAAGCAAACAGTCACGGGAGGCCTTTGGAAGTAGGTGCTGGGCCACTCCACATTAGGGCTCCCCGGGCGAAAAATGCCAGTTAGGGTCCCTAGGCCTGGGCTCCAGGTAGGCACCCAGGATGTTAGAAAATGCCAGAGAATGTTCAAGTTCAGTTCAGTTCAGTGCAGGCACTCAGTCGTGTCCGACTCTTTGTGGTAGTTTAAGCATTCTTTGACATTGCCTTTCTTTGGGATTGGAAAGAAAACTGGCCTTTTCCAGTCTTGTGGCCCCTGCTGAGTTTTCCAAATTTGCTGACATATTGAGTGCAGCACTGTCACAGCATCATCTTTTAGGATTTGAAATAGCTCAGCTGGAATCCCATCACAATCGCACTCATTTCACATGCTAGCAAAGTAATGCTCAAAATT